GTCAGTAACATACTTGGATAAAGGGCTACTAAGTTTGTTAAAATGAATGAACCTGACGTATATCCAAGATGACAGGGGCCAAATATGTTTAAAAGCTTAAAACAATTTCATCTGGATAACAAGGAGGCTCAGGGTGTTGATATTTGGCCAGTTACGTACTGGGATAAAGGGCTACACAGTCTGTTCTAATGAATGACCTTAACTTATATTCAAGGTCACAGGGGTCAACTATTTTTAAACCATTAAAGGACTTCTTCCAGAATGACTTTTATATGATAGGTACTCCTATCATTGTTGACAAATTTCAATAAAACTCCACATTTATATGTATATTATTTACCCCGTGAAATTGTGCACCTGCGTATTATGTTTTTATTCAGACCACTTTACAGTGTTATGCCCTTTTGTTAAAGCCATGACACATTTTGTTTGGACAAGTACTCCTTTAATTATGTCGTTTCCAGATTATATTACGATTCTAACTGGTTTTCAATCTAATTTAACTAACAAAATTCACCAAAAAAACATTTGGAAACCTTTGATTAAATAATTTGACAGGTAAATGAAAGGGTGACCACTGAAGACTAATATTCCGTATCAAGCTCTGTGCGGGGAATCCTTATTTTGTGTAAGAGTTATTTCCCTTTTCCCATCGTAGCTGGCCAACAGTTTTCATCCCAAACCAATGCAAGCTGTCTTCCTCTATACGGGATACCACGTTCGCAGGAACACAATATCTGTACAGAGCAGAAGGTAAACCATCTCAAGATGTACACCTATCTCAAGAGCTCCAGTATTATGACAAACAGTAGCAAGTAAGTTGAGGAGTATCATCAACAAGGATTTCATCATCAATGTAAACTGTTATTTTTGTACGTGTTTCGGATGGCCAGGCCAACCATTACCAGAACGGTTTTCACAATTTCATTTTAACAGCTAACCCAGTGGGCACATAACGTTGTAAGTTAGTTTGACCGCAACGTTGCAGTTTGGTTGTCAGGAGGTTGCATGTGAAAGTTTTCCTGACGTCTTTTTCAGACGTTGTTACAACGTTGTGATTTGGTCAGATTGCAACGTTGCATTTGTTGTACCGTTACAATGCAACATGCATTTCTTTACGGGTTGGCCCTTCTGCAAATATCACAGTTATCTCTGCTAAACGCTGAAAATTAAGGCAATAGGACAAGATTGACGAGTCTGGAATCAAAATAAGTCTTCACAGGGTAATGATTTACTGATTTTAATGTATGTTTGTGGTATAGTACAAACAATCGGAGTCAGCATTAAGAACTTGACATCAGATTTGTCAAGACTAAGTATTCCAAAAGCAAACTTCCACATACACCTCATAAAATTGCACTGAACATGTATAACATTTTCTACAATAGTAAACAAAAATATGACTCCAAAGAAAATTGTATGCAATATAATTTAACAACTCCACAACATCAACATATATGCAATATTCGTATAAAAACAGCTATAAAAGCAGATGCACTTATATTACATGAAATTTCTAGAGAAATAATCTGCGATCTTCTAGTATTATTGGAGAATCAGTATATTTTGACTGAATTTAAAACATCAATCATCTACTATGTTTGTTAGAAGCTCATTATCTAAAACTAATAAAGTACAAGCTTTTAAAAGAATACGAAAATCTAATATGTAGATCTATGTCAAAATCAATGACCAATTTAACAAAACAATCAAAACAGACATTTTTTCACTATGTTTAAGTCATCTGGAACATCCTTGTGAAAGTTATGGAATATTGACTGCTTGTGTTTCTAAATCAATCTACCCAACAGATAAAAAAAATCCTTTGAATTAAAATCAAAATCTGATAAAAGGTATTATAATCAAACCAAACAAAATGAATTTCTCTTTAAAATCATTTTTTTTGCAATAAATTAAAACAAAACCACAGATATAAAATAACAACAGACCCTGAAGATATGTTAACATTTAAAAAAAATAACAACTTGATGAAACATATACAACATGCATGTAAAAATAACTTGACTTGTATGCTTTAATTTAGCTATGATAAGCCTTTCAACACATATCTTAAATTTAGTTAAGAACAAGAGCTGTTAGAGAACATCATACTTTGCCTTTGAGAATATTCAAAGATTTGTCAAGATTGAAACAGCCTACGTTTGAAAATGAAATTTTAAAATTTGCATGCAGCAATATTTGCCCAACCTCTCAAAGCTGTCGGATATCACCTCAGTAGTAGAATCTCAAAATTTCAACAACCTGATGAAAACATCAACATATATATGCAACATGCATGAAAAATAACTCAAAATAAAGATTACAATTTAGGCCAAATGACAACACATGTCTGCTTCCCTTTTCAATTCCAAAAGAAATGAGTGGGTAGGAAGAAGTTGTTCATTATATTTTATTTTTGTGATAGTTATACATGTATTCTCAATTATTTTAATGTATTAAGTGTATTTTTGTGTTAAACAGTAAAAATAGCACCAACTCAAAATATTTAATGAATTGTATATGTATAATACGTCAGAAAACAAATACAAATATAAAATTCAATTAAGAACATTCCTAGTTTTTTTAACGACCTGTATCGCTCACCTGAATATGGGGGGCAGACCGACAGTTTATACAAAATTGGTCCCCCTTCACCTAAGGATGCTGCTTCTTACCAAAAATGGAACAAATCCTTTCATTCCTACAGAAGAGGAAGGATTTTGAAGAATAATTTGCTGTATTACCCCTATTGTGCCATGCCCCTCAGCCCCCAGGGAGGCCAAACCCACTATTTATACAAAATTTGTTCCCCTTCCCCCAAGAATGCTTCTGACCAAATTTGGTAAAAATCTGCTAAGTCGTTCATGACTAGTAGCGTTTTAAAGGAAAAGTTGACGGAGGACGGACGCTGCGGTATGGCAAAAGCTCACCATGGTCCTTAGGACCAATTAATTGAATATAACATATATTCAAATAATTGAAGATACAAAAATGTAGGTACAATTCAATTAGAGATATGTAGGTACAGTTCAATTGAAGATAGGTTAAGTTCATCATATTTGAACTTATCTTCAATTGAATTGCCCTTATCTTCAATTGAATTGAACATATATCTTCAATCAATTGTACCCATCTTCAATTATTTGAAAATAGGTGCAATTATTTGAATATGTTAGTTTGGTATTCCATACTCCTCGGCCTGAAGTTATTTTCCTTCGAGACCGACCAGGATAACAGGAAAGCTGGAGGGTAATTATAACTGTCTAGGATCACTGGCCCTCCACCATTGGGTGGCGTTTTCGAGTACATGGGGCAGTCGCCAGGTACTGGCCGTAGGTCTGTCATTTTTCCTCCAGTTACTCAAGTTTTCCTCCACCACAAAAAACCTGGTATGTCCTTAAATGACTTGTCGTTATTTTAGGATGTAAATCACAAACAACCCAAACCAAACCGAACTTTTGACGGGTCAAATGTTTGTTGTCGCTATTTCTCGAGAAGTTTTTGGCAGGTCTTCTTAAAATTTCAAATTCAAATTTCAAACATAGGTCCTTACTTTGTGGGTTTCATTTTGAGAGTGATTGGAAACAAATGACTCAGGCAGCCACCTTGGATTTTGACATTACAACTTTGTTATTGCTTCTTTTGAAAAATCCTGGAAACATCTTTCTCAAACATGTTCTAATTTGTTATCGCCATTTCTCATGAATTCCTCGAGATGTATTTGGCGAATTACATGTACCGGTACATGTATCGCTTACCCTCGATCTTTAGTTGTGAAGGTTTCACTTTGAGACTGATTTGAAAATAAGATGGTCATAAGGCAGCCTTCTTGGATTTTGACAGTTCAAGTCGTATAGGCTATACTAATTATTAGGTCAAATATACATAGAACTAATGAAAAATGATCAGCACAAATCGGTCAAAACACATCAAGTTGAAAGTTGATGATGAACGTCGCACCACAGCATGAGCTCACCTGCCAAAACGACAAGGTGAGCTAAAAATGAAACAAACAAGATTAGAAATAAAGCTCCAATTTTATTTAATCCCGACTGAAATATCATCCAAACTGGTTTCATGGACCAGCATAAATAAATCCTCGATATATATATGAAAAATGTGAAGCAATACATATGATACTAATCTTAAAGAAATACAAATGAAAAAGTAATTTGCAATCTGCAACTTAGATTTTTAATGGATGAGCATAAGTTAATGGGTTAATGATTGTCTGAAATAAACGCTGAAAGGAATATGTGCTACAATTCATATTTTGAGGTTTTTGTTATCATCATTTGTTTTTTTCTTCAATATCAATAATATACATGTAGGTCTCTATATCTGGCTTCTTCAAGGCCACCATGATACTTTAAATGAAGTTTTATGTCAACAATTCCCATTATTCCAATGTTATAGAATTAAATTTTTTAATCTCTAGTGATTGTCACAAACACTAATCCAGGTTATTTGTTAGTGTTCTGGTATAAACCTACCCAAAAACATTAAAATTGTCGATATTCCTTTTAAAAAAAAATCATTTGACATCCTTCCAACTACCTTTGTTGATTAGAAAGAGGTTTTACCGACTTATCATTTAGTTGCTTGTTTCTGATTTTGCTGAAAATAAATATATCTCCAATCCACTGGACTCATTTTTTTAAATTTTAATATTCATGGTTGACTCCTGATGGTTTTGAATGATTGATTTGGTTTTTACACATTTTTACAACACATCAACATCCACATTCTCGAAAGGTGGCGCTATGCAAAGGCCACTTGTAAGTGCCAGTAAGTACCAGTATACTGAAATACATAATGCCCCACCTGCTCACATTATTGTGGCGATGGACTATCAGTCCTGTGGAAACACTGTTAAATATCAATATAACACACAAAAAGTAGCATTTTTTACAAATACTTTAACATTTCTTTCTTCATCATTTTTTTGTACATGTATTGGTAAACACATTTTTTTTTATCAAATCTTGATATGTATTTTTTGAAGAAAAACAACATACCGGTATAGTAAAAAAAAAAATGAGTTAATAAATCATAACATTTTTTGAAAATAATATGCATAAATGTTTTTTGAGAAGGTTGAGTTTTACTGTATGGCGACAGAATCTAGATGTGAAACATGAGGACATCAGTTATGTGTATAATTGCTACAGCTATACCCATATATTTTGACATACATTTCACATTCATGAGTTTTCAATATTCCAGAGTTACAGTCACTCACACTCTCTGTGCCGCTGGAATATGTCATGGAGAAATTGAAGACACCACGATAGCTATTTGATTGTTCCTAAGTAAAAACAACTGACCAATCATTAGGTTAATACCTATCCTTTGAAGATTACAGAGAAGTGACACCTTACTTCAAAGTTGGTCAATTTTACAGTTATACTGTTATGCAATTCTTTTGATTTACCTCCAAGAATAAGACAACTAGTCTGCTTGTATCATCCACAAGGTGGCTTATACAGAGACTTCATTTTTGTCGTGACATATTCCAGGGGTGGGAAGTCGGTAGAGCGTAACCCACTGGAGTAGTGCGGATGTTCACATTCTTGAATCATTAAATTTTTGACATAAATGCTGTACATAGCTTTGAGAAAATAGGTAAATATATATTAAACGCAAAAAACTAAAGACAAAAAACAAAATTTGATCAATTGAAACATGATTTTGTTGTACAAATTGTGAAATAAAAACACTATCAGTACAATGCAAAAGAATTGTAATGCTTTGATCGTCTTCAAAGGAGGAAAATAAACAATCTATGAGCAAAATCTAAATATATCCATTGTAATACTTCTGTCATATTAATACATATAACACATGTGTAACAAGCTTCTATATAGACCCTGCTGGAATGTAAAGTTTACAGCTATAAATAGTACGCAGTTTTCATCACAGTAAGGTTTAGAAATACAAAACATCACATGGATTGAAGTTCCAATTTCAAGCACTAAAATACAGATTTTGCAAAGGAGTTTTATTTTTTGTAAGTTAACAAATCACAACACACTAACCAATAACATGTACACATTTTAAATGAACCGGAGATAAATATAATAATTTATTCTGGACAGGTAATTCAGTTTAAATGGAAAAAGGAGTCTTTATGGGCAGGTCATCTTAAAGGCATTTTTTATCAGTATTAAAAAATCTTGTTTCGATCTCAAAAAAACATTTATCTTTAAGACTATATGTGTCCAGACTAAAACAAGTTTATGTTCATATGATGACCTAAATCTGAGGATCCAGACCTACATATATATATATTCAGGAATGAATTCACACATTTCCACCATTCACAGAATTGTCTCCTGTTTTACCTGTTAAAGATGTCTCTGTTACCCAGTAGGACAAGATTTCTCTGTCACACTGCATGACAAGATTTCTCTGTCACACTGTAAGACAAGATTTTTCTGTCATCCTGTAGGACAAGATTTCTCTGTCATCACGTACGTAGGACAAGATTTCTCTGTCATCCCGTAGGACAAGATTTCTCTTTGGTAACTTCACATTCCCAACCTTTTCAATGAATTGTCTCCCTTTTAACTGTGTAGCAATTCTCCGTCATCTCCTAGCTGGACAAGACAGGTTACACACAGAAAGAAACAATACAATAACATCAGGAGAACAATAAAATATGATGTCCCAATCACTTTTCTGGAGAGGTCAATTGCAAATCAGGAAACAAATTCTGATGACCTGTGTTTTCAAACATAATTTTGTTACTGTAGGATGGGAGAAAATGAAGTATCTCCTGTGTTCAGGGTATACCAGAGAAATTTCATCTCTTGGGGTGAGATTGTTGATAGTCTAGCCCAAGACATGCTTCAAGTCGAGAGTAAGACATTCAAGAATCGCACCCTAAAGGTAGGGGACCATTCTATAAAGTTTTAGTATGTATACCCAATGACCATTTTTCATTTCTAGTACCTATCTCTCATAAATATGTAATGATAACATACAGAACACACATGTCATACACCTTGCTTCTGTGTAAAAAAACTCGCTCTTCTGAATTAGTTTCGTTAAAATGCTATATAAATACAATTGATTATGCTGGTATTCATGTTATATAAAGCTTAACATTACACATGGACAATGATGTACTCTAGATCTGTAAATGAACAAAATCAGGATTTCTGTAAACATATCATCTCAACTCATTCACCCCTAAATATTTTAACTGGATTTGCCCAGTCTGTGATTTGGTAAGGTTCAGATGTGACTTTAGGGGTGAATGGGTTAACAGCGTACTTCGGCTCACAGATGGATCAGCCGAGTTTGGCTTGCATTGCCATTTCAACTAATGTTGATGAATGGAATCCCTTTGACTAAATCACTTTTCATGGTATCAACGCTTGAACTATAAGACTTTCTTTTATCAATACAAAAATGTTCTACATTCTTGTAAAGGAAAACTGCTGTGACCTTGACAAATATTTGAATATACAGGGAACACTTGCTAAAATAGAGGTTCGTCAATGGTACCGAGGTTATTTTTCGTATCGGCCTGAATCACAATGATTGAAAGTGTACACCATAGTAAAACTCTCAGCCTCGTTGTATTTGTTAGTAAAACCACAAGAAATATATGTTCGTTCTTGCACACTGTAGATATAGATTATTGCAATACTTCAAAAATGAGGAATGATATATAATTTCTAGATTTCTTTCACGTTGATGTTCTTCCATCTGCAGTTTAGAAGCGGACTGTATCAATATTCGCCTCAAACCAATCAACAGTTTCCTTGATGGCTGAAAAAACAGATAAAGAGAATCTAAGGCTCAAAATTCTGTTTAAAAATGTGCCTGGAGCTTAGACCAGTAAAACAGGCGGCCCATATAGGCCTTAACAGTCATCCAAGTTAAATACCATTGTTACTTGTTATTGTGGTTTTTTTTAAAGAATAAAAGTATATACACTTTCATATATAACCAAAAATATCTTTCCTACTGTGGATTGGCTTTTACAAAATGATGTTGTCGGGTGTTCGTCATTTATAAAAAGCACAATATCGGTAAAATTAATACTGCAATGGAGGAAGATTTACCCCCTAAAGGGTGAATAGTTAAACTGCAATAATATGATAAGATATCCAACTAAGTTTGACTTATTTCCCACAGAAAATCAACAAAATTTACCTAAAAACGAAAATTCCCTGTCTAAACCTTTGTAAGAACTTCCCTCTGTCCTGGGGGAAAGGGTGGGGAATGGGTGAACCAGGCTAATGAATTTCACAATTTTAGTTCAGCACATTTGGACCTTGCTATCCATGAAAAGGAGCTGATTCTAGCATCAATCTGAACCCCTTGGCTCCACCAATCAGGCTCCTGGAGGGTCAGACTCTTGAGTAAAAATTCTGATCCCCATCTCAGGTTGATCATTACCACTATGTCATATCAAAATCTGACAGATAATTTCTGGAAAGAAGTCAAAAATATGATTGTTTAAGGTTTTGCACTAAGTGACCAACCCCCCCCCAGTTCAGTTCAGCCCCTTCATCATTCTATGAAAGGTTGGTGATAATCCACCTGTAAGTTCCACAGAAGTCTTTTGAAGGTTTTGCACTTTGACAGTATGTGACCCCTCACCCCCTTGAAGCAGACAGGGAGGGGCATCTCAAGTATAAATTCTAAACCCCACCTCAAAACGATGATTCTCAACAAGTTTCATCAAAATCTGACTGACAGTTTCTGAGGAGAAGTTGAAAATGTGATTGTGAGGATTGTTTCTGTTTTTGCACTAAGTGAACTCCATGAGCCCTCCTGGGGTGGGGGACTGTCAGCCCCTTACTGAGTATACATTCTAATCTTCATCATCTTATAGCATCCTTTTACAAAAGGTGGTGAAAATCCCCCTGTCAGTTTCACAAGTCTTTTGAAGCTTCTGCATTCTGTGACCAATTATGGCCCAACCCCAGCCCCCTGGGGGGTTATCTTCAGTATTTATATTCTTATCCCCACCATGGGCTTATGATTACCACCAAGTTTCATCAAAAACTGACAGATGGTTTCTGAGGAGAAATCGAAAACGTGATTTTTTTACCCATGACACCGACCGATAAACAATCACAACAAAATTCAGGGCAGATATATTACTATTTTAAACGGGAAAAAACAACACATTTCAATACCAACCAGATCTGTTTTTCCCTTTGTAAGTCTACCTCATCTTCAAATACCGAAGACTGTTTTCTTTTCACTCTCACTACTCATTTATGAGCTTCTAACACTAAAGTTTTCTCTTTGTGCAAAACAGCGAGAAAATATTGAAAGAAAATAAATGTTTAATTTTCACATTGTACAGATATTACTTGTACAGAGATTACAGGTAAAGCAATTTCAGATTGTGAGATTGTTGGTACACAGTTGGTAGGTTCAGAGATTATAGGTAGAGATTTCAGGTTTTGAGATTGTAGGTACAGAGATTGTATGTACAGAGATTTCAGATTGTGAGATTGTAGGTACAAAGATTGTATGTACAATGATTGTAGGTACAGAGATTGAATGTATAGAGATTGTAGGTACAGAGATTGTAGGTACAGAGATTGTATGTACAGAGATTTCAGATTGTGAGATTATAGGTACAGATATTGTATGTACAATGATTGTAGGTACAGAGATTGTATGTACAGAGATTGTAGGTACAGATATTGTAGGTACAGAGATTGTAGGTACAAAGATTGTATGTACAGAGATTGTAGGTACAGAGATTGCAGGTACAGAGATTGTAGGTACAGATATTGTAGGTACAGAGATTGTTGGTACAGATATTGTAGGTACAGATATTGTTGGTACAGATATTGTAGGTACAGATATTGTAGGTACACAGATTGTTGGTACAGATATCGTAGGTACAGAGATTGTTGGTACAGATATTGTAGGTACAGAGATTGCAGGTACGGAGATTGTAGGTACAGAGATTGTAGGTACAGATATTGTAGGTACAGAGATTGTAGGTACAGATATTGTAGGTACAGATATTGTTGGTACAGATATTGTAGGTACAGAGATTGCAGGTACAGAGATTGTAGGTACAGAGATTGTATGTACAGAGATTGTAGGTACAGATATTGTATGTACAGATATTGTAGGTACAGATATTGTAGGTACAGAGATTGTTGGTACAGATATTGTATGCACAGAGATTGTTGGTACAGATATTGTAGGTACAGAGATTGTTGGTACAGATATTGTAGGTACATATATTGTAGGTACAGATATTGTAGGTAAAGAGATTCTAGGTAGAGATTCTAGGTACAGATATTGTATGTACAGAGATTGTAGGTACAGAGATTCTAGGTACAGATATTGTATGTACAGATATTGTAGGTACAGAGATTGTAGGTACAAATATTGTATGTACAGAGATTGTAGGTACATATATTGCAGGTACAGATATTGTAGGTAAAGAGATTCTAGGTAGAGATTCTAGGTACAGATATTGTATGTACAGAGATTGTAGGCACAGAGATTGTATGTACAGAGTTTGTAGGTACATAGATTGTATGTACAAAGATTGTATGTACAGTGATTGTAGGTACAGAGATTGTATGTATAAATATTGTATGTACAGAGATTGTAGGTACAGAGATTGTATCTACAGAGATTTTAGATTGTGAGATTCCAGGTACAGAGATTGTATTTACAGAGATTTTAGATTGTGAGATTGTTGGTATAGAGATAGCTCAAGGGTTTCTGTCATTAAGAACAGAAACATCGCCTTTTATATAACTGATATCTTGTCTTACCTTGTTTGGTTGGTGTAAACTCAAAGTCAGGACGATACCTCAAGAGCTTGGCATTGCTGGCTGTCTTTTTGTACTGGCCGTCAGACTTAGAGGTGTCGTACACAACATTACCCTTGAAGTCCATGGCTTCCACCACCATCCCCGCTGCTTCCTTGATGCTCACCTCCTCCTTTTCAGCCACTGAAGCACACCATCAGAATACAATGTAGTTCTGTACAGGAAAACATAATAAACCTTCTCTCCCACCAAAACTTGGGCAGGCAATCACAAAAGAGTACAGCCAAAATAATAATAATAATAATAATATGCACCATTTGTTTTAGCACCCTATCTAGCTAGAATTAGCCACTCTAAGGTACACAGATATACAACTTATACAATCAATACAATTAGAATATACATAAACCAATGTAATTTTGAGGAATTCGCAGGAGCTGCCTTATCAGGAGCTAACTACGTATACTTGTCCTATACCACATGGCTCATATCTTCCTATTCTCTCTGAACGTGTAATATACAGGGAAATATCAGGGTTCTCCCCAGAATTTTTTTAAGCTGATACGTTTCATTTGCAACGAACATTCAAGACGGACACGCTAATATAATACCTTATCAAACCTCTTTTGGTGAACATTAAAACCAAGGAAATAAATAAGTGTTTCTTATGTCTGAATTTTCAGCAATATTATTGTTTTAAATATTCTAAAAAAAATACAATTGATAGAAAGGTGTATGAGTTTTGTACATTGAATAATAGATATGACATTTGTGACATTTGTCTCTTATCTTTACATTTGTATCCCTTACTTAATCCCCATTAAAAATAATTTAAAGAAGACATATTTAAAAGCTGTTTGTGCTTTAGGGGGAAACACTTACATGAAAAAGTTTATATCATAGTTCTTATTATTGTAAGAGAAAATGGTTTAATAAAATGTACAGTGTTTTTATTTCCTCCAAAACTGTATTAAATACTGCTGTCAGTTAATGTGATCAAAGATTAAAACAGCATTTTTATTTGAGCTCTTCTTCATTAAAAACGACAAATCCGGATTTTCATTCCCCTTTCCGGTTTGTACTTTACACAATCCAAGATGGCGACCATCACTAACTGAATACACACGCTATTTCAGCGTTGTGAAATGCAATCATATGGGAGTAAATTAATTTATAATAGATGTAATTAGTGTTTGTTTTGTTAATCCAACAGTAGGTACCTCAATTAATCACCTATTGACCATGTTAAAAGGATCCGGTGATAATTGCTTTAGGCTCCAGTGAGCACGCTTATTGCCGGACACCTGTGGGCTTGTCGTCCGGTCCCCCTCCCCACTAATTACAGGCCCCCTGTGGCAATACGCCTATCGTGCAACTGACCAGTGGGGTCATTGCTGGACTTTGGTCAGCCGTGTCATTTAATCAGTGTCAATTTCTTGTGTAAAAAGACCACCTTCAGTACAAATAACAAGGTGATACGGTTCACAGTTTAAGGTGATACGGGTCAATTAAGCTGATACGGCAGGGAGGATTTCAAAATGAAGCTGATACGGAGCCGTATCAGCTAAATGGCCTGGGGAGAACCCTGAATATATATGTGACAATTTAAACACAAGTGACTTTATACTGTCTAGTTGTTGAATTTGGTGGACGTAAAATAATTTTGCAATTTGGTTTCTGGATCTAATTTGTGGGGGTTGATTTTCATAAATCAAAATTTCGGTAATGCCAATGTTTTCGCAAATACAGAACAGGCATTAACAAATTTTATATGTGTTTCTGAGTATGTTATTACGTTTGCGCATGCATACCTTCCACTGCTTTAGAATACAGATTTACTTACCAGAAAGGATGATGGGATCAATTTCTGGATAATCTCGGAGAACCCAAATTATAAGCTCGCCCAGATCTTTCGAGTAGATGAATTGACGGAGTGGTTTACCCGTTCCCCAGACTGTAAAATCCTCGTTACTCTCTGTAATGTAACAGTTGAAATACTTTTCAGCAGATACATCTTAGTCTTCTGATACTCATTTGAAATTCTGCTGTACAACATAAATTGATATTATAGCATGCTTAACAGCCCGTCAACAAATGGGGGTCATTAGGTTTGATGAAAACAATGTGTAAAACGAAATGCCATCAACAAGAGAAAAAGGCTAACGACAAACGTCAACTTGAATATTACAAGCAGCTTTGGTTTGATATATCTTTCGGAACAGATTATGAGTGTTCAGGTAGTCTAGATTTCGTAAAAAGATGCGTTTTTCAGGATACTGTACCGCTGTTTGTACCCAGGATACCGTACCGCTGTTTGTACCCAGGATACTGTATCGCTGTTTGTACCCAGGATACTGTACCGCTGTTTGTACCCAGGATACTGTACCGCTGTTTGTACCCAGGATACTGTACCGCTGTTTGTACCCAGGATACTGTACCGCTGTTTGTACCCAGGATACTGTACCGCTGTTTGTACCCAGGATACTGTACCGCTGTTTGTACCCAGGATACTGTACCGCTGTTTGTACCCAGGATACTGTACCGCTGTTTGTACCCAGGATACTGTACCGCTGTTTGTACCCAGGATACTGTACCGCTGTTTGTACCCAGGATACTGTACCGCTGTTTGTACCCAGGATACTGTACCGCTGTTTGTACCCAGGATACTGTACCGCTGTTTGAACAGTTGTTTTACTTTAATATTTTGCAGTTGTCCAGATCAACTCCAGTTCCCAGAGGTTAAAATTCAAGCTACAATTGCCAGGTAAAAATATTGCGTCCAAGAGGTCACTTTTTTACTTGGATGATTGGATTTATTTTACAAAATGTTTTATCCAAATAACGTATAAAAACAATTTTTAATAGGTGTTTCTATCTCCACTGTTCAACATTAAAACGGTAAACGGACTTGTTCTTTCTTTTGTTATATTCATTGTATATCTTTTTCTGTCTTTATATTTGCTGGTTATTAACGTTCATGCTACCTTTGTTCATTTACGCTATCTATGTTCACCATGACTGTAGCGAAATTAAATTCGCCTGCAAAAAATACCAACTAAACAGTACAACTTACTTTTGGCCTTGTAAACTTTGTGTATAAGGCCTGGGAGTACATGACCATCTTCCAGATTAAAGTTGTCGAAAGGTCCATACACATTAGTGGGGATAATTGCAGTAAACTGACAACCATGCTGCTTGTTGTACGCCCTGTAAAAGATTAACCAACTGTTACAAAACCTAGAGAGGTCAAACTTCACATCTATACAAATCCTACTTCCAGCAGATGTTTTTATCCATGAATTGTTTTAACAATCTTTCACTGGTAAGAATCATAGATGGCCTCCTAATAGTAGGGGTTGCACACAAGAGTTTATCTTGCTAGTCTAGTGGTAGGACGCTGGGCTCGTGACCGAAGGGTTGCATGTTTAAGTCATGTCACAGCAGTACTAGTGTTGTATCTTTGAATAAGATTCTTTACTCCACTTAATGTGCCAGTCTACTCAGCTGTAAATGAGTATGTGATTGAGCAGTGATGGCATTGTTGAATGCTTGCTGTGAGCATTTAAATTGCAGCACCGGCTGTATGCTCCTCAGGGAATTGAGAAAGATATTGGCTGGTTGCAAAGCCCAAATAACCACAGATAACAATTTATGAACTGCTTTGAGACGACCCAGTACCTAGATTGTGATGTATAAAAACCTCAAATTATTTTTATTATTATATATTATCACGATATGTTGTAATGCAGTAGGATGTATTCAGGGTTTTTGCCAGCTATTTTGGGAAAGGTCTCTGAGCAGGAATTTGGAAAATATTATCGGCATTTGGCAAAAATTTGGAAATACCATTAGTGTTCACACATGCACAGGTTCGAGAAAATATTAAAAGTTTTGAGAAATTAAACCTACAAAGTGATTTGCAAAAAGTTTTCCTCTAGCTGTTTCTTACAGTAAAATGTATAGCAATAAATAAACACATCGGTTTTTAGCGTTTTTGTTTATTCAATTTCAAATTTCCATTATTATGTATTTTGAATGCTCTTTCATGGATGGTAATACTTTGAACGTTGCACATATAACGACTGGAAACTTGTATAAAATGATTGTTTAAATTTAATTGGGAAAATAAAGACTGAAATTGGGAAAATAAGTAACTTGTTTATAGTTAATGGCATAGCTGTTGTCAGAATCCAAGTTGGCCACCTGATAGCTATCTTTTTCTTGTGACCATTGCAGTCTCAAAATTTTACTTTCAAAATTATCAAGGACCAAGTAGAAACTACTTCAAAATTAAATTTGAAAAGGTTCATCTATTATTTCTTGAGAAATAGCAATAACTATTGTTAAGAATAGTTTCAGAAGAATGATGAACTGTGGACCAAAATGCCATTTGATCGGCCCAAAATCTAGTAATGATCTGATAATCGATGTAGACCTAAAATTAAAATTTATACAAGAAATATGGATCATATTTATTTTTGCCTTAACAGTGCCCCTTACTCCTCGATGATTTATCGTGCCCCAGCTCTGATACTGTTCCCAGTATTTCATTCGATCCGAGAAAGTCAGACATGACACCATGCTGTACCCTGTACACGTATGCATTACCACGACATCTGTGACATTATTTGTTCAGTAAGTTTTGATCCATACATACATTATTGATCCTCTGAATAACACTCCTTTATGTGAGGAAAATCAATTGATAACTGTACGACAGGTTTTATCTATCTGCAGTCCAACCTTTTAATATCATTAAGGTACATTAATGTCCCACCACTTCTCTACTGCACGCAAGTTACTTTCCTGTATTTATACATTTTCCAATGTTCATACGTATACAAAGACAATTATAGGTTGCAGGCCTATTTAGCTAGGGAGTTCAAACATTTTGAAATAACCCCCATTATGTAGCAGAAAAGAATAAACATATAAATATCGTGACCAGTGGTACATGTAGCTCACTGAATTTAAGCTCCCTGATTTAATATTAACAAGATGACCGGAGCATTGAAGCCAACGTGTTTTCTTCAAAAAGGAATATGTGATGATAATAATTCTTTGTGGACTTAATTTTACTGTCTGCTACTAGCGTAATAAATGTAGTTTATTTGCACAATTTGTAGTTTACTTATGTATTACATGTATTATGTCTTAAAATGTCTGCTGTAATGAGTTTGCAGATTAATAATACTATTAAGAAAACCGTGTAAATGATATCAAATTGAGGGGAGCACTGTATATTAAGTACAAATCTGGCATACATTGTATTTAACAGCAATATCTATATCTTTTTTTTTCTTTTGTCTTCAAACAGAGTTCCAGAATGTATCCATTTGTACAGATAATATGCCTTTGATTATTTATTTTTTATTAAAACTTTTATAATCAATGTTATCAATTTATGATTTCAATATGTACTTTTCAAATGTGTCATCAATTCTTGTGAATATTTCGAATATGTCATCATTGTTGTATAAATTTCGAATGTGTCATCAATTCTTCTAATGAATCTTTTAAAAGTGTCATCATTGCTTGTGTACATTTCAAATTACTCATACAACATATAAATATATACCTGTTCTGTACATCAATCATTCTCTTGGCGAAGGAATATCCAAAGTTGGACTCATGAGGAGGGCCGTTGTGTACCTGTTAATACATATAGTGTCTAGTTATATATGTCTAGTTATATATTTTTTCTGAATCTAAACATTTAGAAAACTTAAAAACATCAGGTAGTTGACAATTTGTTTTACAGAATTATGTTTGTGTAACACATTTACAAGAAATGCTTTCCTTGGTTATCTCCCTTGATATAGTTTAATTTTAATGTGTCCTTCCATGTAATTTTTCATTTAGCATGAATTTTAATTAGAGTTTGCCTCAAATTTATTTCCTAAAAAAAATCAGATTCTGTAACTGAATGTATTTACCTTTATGGCTGTTCAACTCCATACACACCTGTATGTTTGCCGTTATGATCACTTACCATAGTTTCGTCAATGGGGTAAGTGGTTTTGTCGGGGAATATACAAGTCGACAAGCAGGAAACCAACTTCTTGACACCAAATTCCTTACACATGGACATCACATTGTCATTGATGATCGTGTTATCTCTCTGAAAGGACAAAGTTATTATTAACTAGAAATATATGTTTAACTAGAATCATATTGCCAACATCAAACATGGTAGGATTTGATATTATACTCAGACCTCAGTGGCGGCATAACAAAGAGGAGGCCCACAGTGACTCCAGGGCAACACCCTCTGTTTATACACTAGCTAATTATATATAAGCACAGTGCCTAGATAAACCTACTGTGCCTAATAATAGTTAGTTCCCAATAATAANGGAGGAATACACAAAATGTATAACAATCACCAGGCTGTTGGAGGAATACACAAAATGTATAACAATCACCAGGCTGTTGGAGGAATACACAAAATGTATAACAATCACCAGGCTGTTGGAGGAATACACAAAATGTATAACAATCACCAGGCTGTTGGAGGAATACACAAAATGTATAACAATCACCAGGCTGTTGGAGGAATACACAAAATGTATAACAATCACCAGGCTGTTGGAGGAATACACAAAATGTATAACAAACGCCATAAAATTTGAGATTTTTATGCGGTTTTAACAACAAAAAATGAGATCATATAGAATATAGATATTTTCAATTCTATTTTCATTCAGGTCTGGGTAAACTTTAAATGTGTCATTTCTCAAGCTTTAAGTCTGTGCAATGTTGTAAGAATTAATACACTGCTTATTATACAAATATATGCTTAAAAGGTCAATTTCTTAATGACGATTGAGTGCAGGATTTTATCGTGTTTTGTAATAGTCTTCAATGATAAATACTATCGAAAAATCTTTTTGTGTAACTTCTAGTACTTCTGGGTATGACTGCACAGTGGACCACAAATGTCACTGGATTATTGAAAAAATATAGGTAAACGTTCTTAGAGTTTGCTAAAATTGATTGATAGTTGAAGTACTATTATAGTATATCACGATGCAGGCAAACAAATTTCAATTTGATATGATACACAAGAAAGTATCGCGTTACGATACAACAAGATATATTGTTGCAGTCCTATATAATGTTGTATTGATATATATATATATACGTAATATTTTAAAACAGAAACTATTCAACTATTGAATCTGTGGAACTCTTCTGTTTTCGGATTGTTGCTTGCTTATTTCTATATACACACATCCCACAATTCCTGCCCCAAAGACTAGAGGAGTCTTCAATTGTCGCTGTTCCATCAGGCATGTTTCTGGTGTCGAATACCATGTATTCCTCGAAATATTAATCTGACTGGACCCCACATTTGAGATAGTGGGGTTTTACTAGACAAGGATATATATACAGCCTAGATGTCATTTACATATCAAAGTGAAGCATTAAATATTGGAGACTCAACATTTTCAGTAATACTTTATAGTATCAGTTATGTATATATCTCTATTCATATGACCTTATTAGCTTTGAAGAAGACTAAATCTAAAATCAAGTTTTGCCAAGACTTTTTTCTGGCACCTGCTATAAAACTTTCAAAAATGTCAGACGCCATCAACTGTAACTTATTAATCATATATTTATTCATGTAAAGTTGCCTTTATATACCTTGGTATATATATATTGTGATGTTGAATGAATACAGCTATATTCAAGGCATAGCCCCAGATAGTGTACCTGATACCACCTGAAAAGCCACAATACTCTATACAGTAACAAGTGACAACAAATATTAAAATCACAGGAAACATATAAAAGATGCTGTACTATTCTAGATAACCTCCAATTTTTAAACCATCTTACTATGTAATCATGAGTGCACTTACATAAAAGTCAAGGTTGTACTTGAGGTTACGGAAAAGTCCTCCCACTAACGCTGCCAAGTGGATCACATGTGTCGGTTTGTGTTTATTGAACAGCGCCCTGGTCGCCTCTGTATCCCTGAGAATGAGAGGGAAAAAAATATGCCAAAGGAATCATTATTAGTTAAAAATTAGTTAAAAGTTCCATTATCACTCCATACATGTACATACCTATACAATAGCTTATATATTGTGAATATAGCATTTCTTTAAATTGACTGGAATAAGTGTGAAATCTTTAGAATCAAATGTTAAATTAAAAAGGAGATCCATTATCAATGAACTGGAGTGTTAACCTATTTCCATGAAACGCTGTAAGGTTTGTTTAATGTTTATGTTGTATTACGTATACCAGCTGTACTGCGTTAATTCTTACTGAAAATTCAACATCTGGAGAAAACGGGATATTTTACAGTTAGTTTTAATATGATTCACAGGCTTGTGAATATCTGCCTTACTTGAGATTCGCATCCTTAGAGCTGAGGTAGATCCACTTTTCATCTTTGTGCACAAGACTTGGCTTACGTTCCATGGCCAGCCTCAGACCGTGACCAACCAAACCAGTGCCTCCTGTCACAAGCACAACTTTTGTCGTGTCACAAGCAGCCATCTTTTAAATTTGTTTTCTGAAATGTTTAAAATTACACAACATCAACCATCTGACTATCTAAATATATACTAGTATAGCCATATCTGATAACTAGGCTTCTCAAAGTTAAGTGTAAAGTTCCCATGCTGACTGATCATGAAATGTCATAAGACTGGACACAGATAAATACATGACACATTAAGTTATACTTCTGCAAAAAGAATCAATTCAGTAAATTCCTCCGCCAACCATGCAGAGTCGACAGTTTAAAAATGTCCTTCAGTGTCCTATGCTTCTGTAGAATTGATACAAAGAAACAAAATGTGGTTTTACTCAAATGTTTCTGCTATGACCATATTTGAATTCATTTAAACATTGCACATTTATGCTTTTTCAAACACTGTCACGTGTAGTTATCAATACTATTTTTCATTTTACTGGTATTGTCATTGATTTTCTCATCATAAACATTAGTGACCTGCTCCGTATTGTACTGTATGTGACAGCTGATGACAAATCTTTACATGCCACCACACCATATTCAGGGTTAGACACTAACTTTTTGTGCTTAGTAGTCCACAGGACTAGTTGAATAGATTTTTAATTGTCTTTCGTCAATGTATTAAACTAGTCCACGATTTCCTGATGAGGAAACATTGCAATCTACAGCACGAAACATCAAAAGTTATCAACTGTATGGGACTTAAAATAATTTCCCCTAAAATAATTACAAGTTTTAGGAAAATTTTGACAATTATCATGCACTATATTTTATTTTAAGCTAGCTGTTTTCTAATTTTTAAAAAGAAATAGTCTTATTTTATAATGATATTTTTCACAAGTCGAATTAAAGGACCAGTTAGATTAGGTGATTCACAAGTCCTTGCCGAGATCTACTAGTCCAGGACTAGCAGACTAGTGTTAGTGTCGACCCCTGCATATTTAGATACTGTCTGTTATCAGCAATTGTCCTGTATTTGGCCTAATAAGGGTGACAGGTGCTGGTTTGTTTGTTTGAATGGGGTGCAACATTCTCACAAGTCTCATAATGAGCATATGAAATTGGATGCTAAGCTTGACACCAATAAGAAGAGCAAGAAAAAGAGAAAAGAAAGACAGAAATATCAAGTACTGACTGCAATTGAGATATAGAGTATCAGTTTGGGTTTCTTCCTAAAGTAAGCAGAATTAAGATACTGAAGAAAGTCTTGTTTCTACAAGGGGGGCGTGGCATTTTTTGTATAGCATTCAGTGGGATACAGTACTAGTACACAATAGGCCAGTATTTCCCCCAAACCTGCACGGTTGTCAGTAAACGACATGTGAGACGCCCTTACTTCAGGAATGAGGTTCTACACCTAAAAAGGAATGGGACTAAAGAATAAAATATATAATATACCTTTTTGAAAGTTTTTGTATAGGCCTATATTTTATATTTATACATGTATACACCATCCAAAATGTTAGATTTTGCAACGAGAAAAAAGGCGGGGTAGATTTCGACATCAAGAGTACCAAAACCTTTCAGTTTTACATTTTTTTTCGAGTGTTGACTTTAGCTGTTACATGCATGAAACCTCTCTCTCTACACATCATGATAGCTCCAACATAAATACTGTGTATGAATAAAGTACAAATGCATAATTTCTTTGCCTATTTTGCGACAATGAAAAATAAACGAACTCGGGTGTCACATTACCATGGAAGCCGGTTTTCGAGCCGGAAACTGGGCAAAGCTAGATGTCTACACGTGACGCTATAGTTTGTTGTGGTCTGTATTATGTGCATATGACTTGATTAGTAGGTTACAATATTACCTGTTTCAAGTGCTAAACGAAATTCCGGCGTGAGAGTGTATTGGAACGTCCCTTAGCGACTAGGTCCGAAACGACGCTATCTGGAATGCCACGTGAAGAGGTGATTGGGCCGCTTGTGTAATCGCGAATATAAAAACTTTGTCCTAAGCGGCCGAATGATTGTAAGACCGCCTGATCGGTTCCCGCGGAATGCTTATTTATTTAAACTGTACCATACTTGCCAACTTTTGAAATTTCCATTGGAGATATTCTGCATGCTCAAAATTATAACATAGGGTAAACATAATGTGTGTATATATACCCCATAGTGACAATCTTACCCTAAAGCGATTCATTTAGTGTAGTTCAACTGTTTAAAGGGTTAACAATCGAGAGTCTCCCTCCTAAATATTTAGGAAGAGTTGGCAAGTATAATCTATGCGTATAAGATAATTTCTAATAACACCAAAACAAATATATTATGATGTAAAGTGGCACAATAAAGAAGTGAAAGTGGAAAAAACATGGGACACCATGCATTGGTTGTTATTCATTAAAATAGTTTTTAATTAATTTTTCGGTCACCTGACATGAAGTCTTTGCTGATCTATCAAAATCGCATTAAATTGTCCGCCGCACGCCTGTTAATCAACCTCTGCAAAACAGCAGAGTCGACTTCAATAAAAAAAATCGATGGAAAACTGAATGAATTCCATTTAAATATTGTCGATAGGCCGTGATACAATACAAAGACACAATCCATGCACAAAGGCAAACCAAAGGAGGGAATACAGTTTACTATTATAGCTAGTGTCCACATGGACTCGGTTTCACCTCGGTACCCTCAATTTTTATAAGGTTTTAGAATGTGTATTTACTGGTTTGTATAGGTTTATTATTAACCGAAAGTATTCCGAAACCGAGCCCCTGTGCTAGTGTCTACGTACATGTTTATTCGACCACGGACTTGGAACAATGGTATAATATATTGATAGAGTAGGCCTATTTACATCATAATGGGGTGTCAATTTTACCGAGTTTGATTTGAACCCCTTATACTCTGTTACACATCAGGATAGTTCCAAACACATTATATATGTATAGTAATAGGGACCTAAGGATTTATAACAGCTATACTTGGACCTAAGCTGAGGTTGTTAAGGTGGCTCCACACATTGTCATCAGTGTCCATTTTAAATTTCGTGACGTACTTCCGGACAAAGTACAGCTCGGACTCAATTAACTCTATCGCATGAACACCGTGTCGTCATTTCCGTATTGCGTATCGGGTATTTCAGTATATCGAAGTGAAAATTAATGTAACACCTGGTAAACAATAGTACACGTACGTATGTGACGATGATATGTCAACACCCAATATCAGTTTTTACCTGGAAATGTGTAATCACACATACATCAGAAATAACGCGTCCAATTCATAGACATAAACAGACTCACGGGAAGACACTGCCATGCATTTATGAAGGCTGTCACTTTCCCTACTCGTCATGAAAACACTCTCGATCTGTTCCTAACAATAACTATTTTTTTCCAGACACCATCAGGCTGTTGAACACATTACCATCAGCAGTTGTAGACAGCCCCTCACTTGATATCTTTACGAGGAGGCTGACCACCACCCGCCTACGATAGTGCACCATAGTGCTTTTAGTTTTTAACTGTATATATAATGGATTTTTAATGCACCTGTGAATAGTTGAATTGCTCACATCACGCAAAGTCCGAGAATACACTTAAGTGGTATGGACTGTACCTTGAAGAAGAAGAAAACATGGAATGCGGACTGATGTGATTTCTGGACCGACCTCACATGTACATATCACGTCCTTACACGAGTTTACAAGCTCGAGGTCGTTACGATTTTCACTGTTAAGCGAGTTTCACTCTGTTGATTGAATCGTTTTTACAAATGCAATCTAGTTATTACTCTGTAAAAAAAGTGTTTTGTAAAATATCAAGATCCATATGAAAATGCATGTTTGAGTGCACGTGAATGGCATACCATGCGATAGCCTCATGGGCACATATGGTACCTGACATGTAAATAGACCGTGCGTTAGCGGGCTGTGGAATGATGTTCAAAGTGTACACGACTGAGAGTAATTTGGTTCCATCAAAGGACAATAAATTGATATATTTTACATCAATTTTTGGTAAAGTAAAAATGCGTACACATTTGCATTTTCATCATTGGGGATACGCAATTGAAGAATTAAATAGAAAATATAACAGAAAGATTTCTTTCACTGTGTTTCCTATGCATGGATACTGAAATAGTTAACCAACAGTTGAGTTGCTTGACTAACATCGACACGCAACCACAATTGGTACAATTTTGACAGTTTTTCAGTGATATTCTAAAAATAAGTTCTTGTATCAGGAATGTTTTTTTTATTCTTGACAAAGACTACCCATGATGATTCATTTAAAGAAAAAGTTTTGATTCTAAGTAATGTGTTTTTGAAAATAGAACGCTAAACTCGCTGTGAGATTTCGTCCGTTTTTCGGCCGTGATTAGTACCCAGATTGGTACACAATATCACAGGCTATAAAACTTCAAAATCCTCCAAAATTTTCTTCGACATACGTCGTTTTTACTGGTTTTCTTATATGTTTATTTTGAAGTCAACGTGTACTCTTAAAATGTTCACGAAAACAAAACTATTCGGTAGAAATGCTTATAAATATCTTTTTTGTTATGCTGTCAAAGGGAAATGATCAAATTTAATTTTAAAGTTCTATTCGAACCATTTTCTGACCGTGTACCAATTTGGGTAGTTTTTGTTCCATAAATATATAGAGCTAGTACAGATTTCACGCATGTACATGTACATGCAGTAACGCATATACCTAGATTCTACATAGTTTCTACATGCTGCTTCCCACTGGTACCTAGGAACAGAAAGGCGATCGAAATAAATCTGCCTTATCCTAACGTAAAATCTCTATTTTGGCCTCGGTGTTGAGCATTCGCCAAGGCCGGGAAGGTTAATGGTATATGGGCTCTGTTCCCAGTCCCTGACAAACCAAAGTACTTCAAATCTGTACTTAATTATTTCTCTTTTCTTGACGTTCACCTTTAGATTTGTGTCTGTAAGGATTGTTTAGCACGTTATAAGTTTAGTGTGACCAGTGGTAGATTGTGCTACAATGTCATGGCCCCCGAATCTTAGAAATTCTTGATTCTCATTAATTCTTTAGGTAAGTAAGAGTTTGGTTCCCTTGGCCTGATTATGATAATAGAAGAGATGACATTTCATCTAAGTGGCTACTGAATAAACCTCTTATCCGTAGATACCATTTCCAAATGACCATCGCCTTACATAAATATATATGTATGTACACATAACAAGCCTATTGCAGCAAAGTTTTTCGTCTATCACTCCAGGAAGCTGTTCGAATTTTATAGGGAAATGGAATTCTTTCATACATTTTTTTCAATGACAGTTCTGCTCTGTTTTATAAGCCATACAATGTTTTGCGAAATAATAATAAAATAAAGAACAACGATTAGAAATATATCCAACACTTTTATTACATTAAATGATTAGAATCAACTAAACATGGAAACACACAATATTGACCGTATTCGTCAATTGCCTGTCAGATTAAAAAAAAGATCTTTTCTATAATTATGAACCAGTATGTTGGCTGTTACTTTCGTAGTCCTAAAGCATATTCTTATTTAACGCCTGGGTCACATTAGATCATATTCGTTCCATGCTTCAGTGGCTGGAGTCCTGTGTCAGCAACCAAGGGCTCGGTATAGTGAAGTAACTGGGTAAGTGGCAACCGATTTAGAAAAGCTTGACTGTAATTATACTTTATTCATTTAAATTCTGAATTAGGAATCGTGTTGGCTCGGGTTAATTTCCCCACCAAATGCACTCTACTGACTTAAACATAGATAGGAAATATGCTTCCCTCATTTTTCAAAGACATAATAAATATTTCGATAAGCCGAATAATTTCAAATACTTGAACAATGGTAAACTCTGCAAAAGTGAAGTTCCATTGTAGACAATTTAACGAATACGGTCTGACATTAACAAAATAAATCTTTGCATATATGCATAGAAGATAGTAAAATTTGTTTACTCGTAATTTACATAAACCATACACATATATTCACCAGATATGAACTAATTTATTTTTATGAAAAAGGAAAATTGTTGAAATACAATTTATAAAAAAAAGATCTGCTAGGTCGTCACATTTTTTTTTTTATTAAATCTGTTTTAAATACACAAAACTACTGTTGTTTTCATGATTGAAAAGAAAGAAAACAAATTAGTTTTCGTATCATGTACAAATGTATAAAGCCAGTCTTTTTATTTTTTGTCTGATGAATATTATATATATAGTTATTTTAGGTTAGAATGTCATTACATTTTCAAACACAAGACATTCTACCTACATCGAAAAATAGTCGAACAATACTAACTTACTTTTTATGTGGTCCATTACTGAAGGTAATCTATAATTGACATTTCGCGGCTCAGATAAATCTGTAATTGTATGCTCAAGCATGCACTAACATTTTCAAAAAAAATTGTTATAATTTATTTTTATTGATTTCTTATTTTATAATAATATGGACCGTCCGTATCAGTCATCAAAGGGAAAGAAATAAAAAAAATCTTTTGAAAATCTTAGTCTTATTATATTATGTCTATACACATTGGCAAATATCGAAGCTTTATGTAAATCAAAAGCTACTTTGTGAAGAACACAATTATATATTGTTAATTTAAAAAGTCGGGGTTTACTTGTTAAAAATTAGACTAAATCAGAACACGGGCGATTGCTTATAGGGCCTAGTAGATGTTTTCCGGCTCCCATACCCTCCCCCTCCTCCGGCGCTACTCGCCTCGGACGCTCGACCATCTGTAAGCATACACTTCGAAAAATGATTTGCTACACCACTCATTACATCCGTTTAGGCATCGTCAGTACTAGTGGAACTAAAGATTAAAGGAATGAAAGGCCATATCTATTAAAGTTCCGAAACATATGTAGAATTTATCGAAAGGGACAGGTATGACAACCCTTTTTGAAGTTACTTATTTTGATTCAAACAGATATTTTTTTCTTAAGGACTCGCACAATTAAATCAGTCAATCAAATGTAAGGAC